TAATGGCACGCTCAAATGCTGAGATCACGGTTTTGAAGAAGACCTTTAGTGAAAAGTACGGCAAAGATCTTGTGAAATGTCTGAGTGCCGATCTCAGTGGTGGCTTGAAAAAAATGATCATTGCAGCGCTGAAGGGAAGCGTCCCTTCTTTTGATCCTACTGTGTTCACAAATGAAAAAGCTGTCACGGACGCCGATTTGTTATTCAAGGCCGGAGAAGGGAAGTGGGGCACTGACAGAGAAACCTTTATTCGTGTGGTTTTCTCTAGTCCTTATGAGCACCTGCGCAACATTGATATCGCTTACTCAAGGAAATACAAAAAGTCGAACATCGTCAAGGCTATCAAAGCTGAGTTCAAGGGCGACGCCCAGAGGGCATTGCTATTTCACGTTCGGATGGTATTTGAGCCTTTTGAGCTTTTGGCCGAACTTTTCGAAAGCACAATGAAGGGCCTGGGCACGGACGAGTACGGACTTAGTGCTGCAGTGGTGCGATATCAAACCATTATCCCTGATATCAAGGTCGCGTACAATAAGTTATATGGAAGGAACCTGAGTGATCGCATTCGCGGCGATACCAGTGGCGAGTACCGCGATTTGCTGCTCGCGATTGTTGACCGCCGTTAGTGAGAACTACATTTTTTAAGCGGGTTATGACATCGATAAACGGTGAATAGGCGCACATGCTTATGAAAACCTTAATGCTAAACTGCGTGCTTTTCTGTTCTGTGATTTCCCGAAATTTCCAATTAAATGATAGCAATCGACAGATATCTGCGATTCAGTGCTATCCCTGAGCTGCGAAAACGAAGAACTACATTTTTGAGTAGACAAGCAACATGGTCCAGCTTTTTTCTTTTACATGCTGCGGTCGTCACTCTGATGATATCTGTATGCTTCAACTGAACTGCCTATCGAGCATACAGAAAACTAACTTTAAATGATTGACCGGGAATGAATGTATAGATGTTGACACGAAAGCTAGAAGCTTACGCTACCTTGCCGGCTAAGCAGGAGAGCGCAAGTTTATTATATGGAGGAATATAAAATGTTGGATAAGCAAATGTGATTATGAAGGTGTGATCTTTCGACCCATTTTGTGTACTGCCGTTAGGTGACACCGTCACTATCCTAAAATTACCGCATCACCCAATTTACTTGTACTTTAGCTTAGTACTCACCGCTGTTCTGTAATTACCTGGGTCTGGGATCCGAGGGCTATTCACCACCTCATGGCGTGTGCACATATTAAAAGTATAAAAGTGGAGCTGATGAAGATGCCGCAACTCTGTATGGACAGAATCAATGGGACGCATAAGCTTCTAATCCCACGCTACGCAATACGAACGATCTAAGTATGGTAATTTTGATTTCGAAGAACATGTATCGATCAGACTAGCTTAAAGTAGAAGAGAGCGATACTCTCTGCGGAAGGTGAGGCTTCCAGCCCAGATTTGTTAGCTGGCAACTACAAATTATTGAAATTTGTGAGGTCAGGGGAAATCCTGCTAGATTTAAGAGCGTCTTAGAATCACGTACGAGGCGCAACTCGAATACAGTACGATTTCTGTGCACCTTGCTACGTAAAAATGTTTGGTAGCCTTAAGAACCATTCGTACGTAATGTTTGATAGTAGTGGCTAGACAATGAGTCCCCGAAATGGTTCGTTTAATACTTCAGGAGGAGCTGATCGAGTCATCCGTCATGGGTTTCGTGTAAATCTAAGAAGCTCACCAAATAAATAGCTGGCTGCAATCCTCGAGGATTCTACACATCTTTTCGTTCTTTACAAATGAAGAAACTCGATGTGGTGACAAGTCAAGACCAATCTTACTCATATAAGGGGTCATGAAATTGACCTCGTTGCTGAAATCAAAACTGCAGAACATGACAACGGAACTTACCCGGGAACAGTGTGATATCACAAACGTCTTCTTTCATGCGAACCTTGAAGCGCTTCTGGCGCATGAGCCAATTCATACACTTAATGCCAACTTTTTTTGTCAGGAAAAGGCTACCGGCAAGTGGCATTTAGCGCACCTGACCTTGTTGTTGATTTCAAATTAGACACAGTGATTTCCTAATCAGCGCTGCAAAAGATTGGAGTGGAATGCTCGTACTTTTGCTGATTATACATCATATACCGTCCTACACGCCAGCACCGTTCAACTATCTGATAATGCGGCTGTTAAGCCTGATGCAGAGGTCGATTAAACAATATTGTTTTCCATAGTCATGTAGAGCACAGGAATTGGAATGCAGATATCGACATAAAGATTTGCAAACAATGTTTGAGTTTATGCGCCAAGACAAGCTTTCGCCAATCAACAAGTGTGTCGGTGGCTCCGACGAAACCTCCTTCGTGAAAATTATCGGGAAGCAAGATCTGCGAACAAATCTCACAAAAACCAAGGCTATCGTTGATAAACTTGTGTTTTTCAACCATAAGGAAAAAATTAGTGGCTACGCAGTCAACTACATGCGTTGGGTTGCGCAGATTATGCCGGCAGAGCGTCACCACTCACCAAGTTTTCACCGATGGCAAAATTTACTTTTGCGCTGCAGAAAGAGTGGCATTATAGATTCCGGAGTGAATTCTGATACTCACCGCGCATTTTGGCGCTCGATTCTACACCAGCCATCTCTCGTCGTCTGTAACATTTTGATAATTACGTTAGTCTATTCATTTATCCAGGCACATGTCATCCGAGTTCCATTCGATTCTCGCCAGCAGGTAAGGTTTGAGCTGGGTTGACATACTGTGATTGTGAAAGCTCTTTCATGTCGCATGAAGTATGAACTGGCAAGCATCACCATGTTAATTTTGCGTTGTAACGTGGCGTTACGCACCGCATACGATCAAATATAGCAACATTTTTGCTGCTGATATCTTTGTTATGCGAAGCGTATTTCGACTCACATGCTGTTTTATCGATACGTTTGGTTGCCAAATTACAAAAGTGACCTATTGGACACTTAATGTGTGATGCAACGTGACGAACATTTGAGTGCGTTAACTGTTGAAGAAAGCAGAGGATGCATGTGTAGGCAGGTTTTTAGCGTTTAATAAAACCAGGTCTCCGACCTTCAAGCTTTCCACTTTGCCTCTTCCCTTTTCATCTGCATATTGTTTCTGCGGGTATTA